AAGCATACTCTGTATGTCAATATTTAAATCGTTGATGAAGATATTGAACAGAACTGGTCTCAGAACAGACCCTTGCAGAACCCCACTTGTTATGCCTTTCCAGCAGGATTGTGAACCATTAATAACTACTTTCTGAGAATGGTTATCCAGCCAGTTGTGCACCCACATTATAGTAGCTCCATCTAAGTTTTAATTGCCTAGTTTATTGATAAGAAGAACATGTAAGACCATATCAAATCCCTTACTAAAGTCCAAGTATACCATGTCCACTGCTTCTCCCTTTTCTAAAACGCTAGATATCCTTTCAAAGAAATAACAGTTAATATTTTTATTGCATAAATAAGAAATATTAGTTATGGAAAGTCACATTAGTGTGTGTTTGTGTTTAAACACATACAGTAAATTCCCTGTGGGTAACAGAAGAGCAGATACCTCTCCTGGGAAAAATGCTTTCATCATTAACTGAAAGAGCAGCAATTTTTTTTAACTTCAGTTTTTCTGTATTTTATTATCAGATGTTTTACCATGAAAATATGAATTTGTTTTCTTAAACTCAATGTAACTGGCAATCTAATTAGGACTAGAAACTTTGATATCAGTCATACATGGATAGGACACATCACTTTCTTGAGGTTACTTCCTCTCTCCCCATAATTCTATTCCTACAACAAGAACAATTAAAAATCCAATTTCCATGTTTACTTTAAAAGGTAAGAATGGCCATGCTGGGTCAGAACAAAGGACCATGTAACTCAATATTCAGTCTTCTCTCAGTGCCCAAGTGCCCCAGAGGGAATAAACTGAACAGGTAATCATCAAGTGATCAATTTCCTGTCACTCATTCCCAGCTCTGGCACACAGAGGCTAGGGACATAATCGCCGCCCATCTTGACTAATTTACATTGATGGACCCATCATCCATGAACGTATCTAGCTCTTTCTTGTACTTTGTGATGATGTTGGCCTTCACAACTTCCTCTGGCAAAGCAATCCACAGATTGCATTGTGGGGGGAGAGGGGAAAGAGGAGGGAATTAGTTGTTTTAAACCTGCTGCCTATTAATTTCATTCCCGGTGACTCCAGGCAGCACGTGACATGCCTGCTTTGAAATGCACAAGAGTCCCTAGCAGTGGCTCTTGCGCATTTCAAACGCATGGAGCCCAGAGTCAGCGGAGAACTCACAGTCCCCCACTGACCCTCAGCACCATGCTATGCTGCATGCCGGTAGGGGCCTGGGATTACCTGGGGACTCCTTAGCTGACCTTGGGTTCCGGGGAAATGCTGCAGGGAGCCCAGGATCAGCTGGGGCATCCCCAGCTGACCCAGGGCTCCATGGCTGCCCCTTTGAAAGGCACAGAGGTGGCTTCAAATGCCAGCATGATCATTTGAGACTACCTAACATTCCTCAGGTGAGCAGTTATTCTATATTAACACCTCTCTAATTATGATTTAACACAACTCCAGACATATTGTTCAACAATCAGAATAATATAATCTGTAAATTGCAACATTCAACATGGTAACTATTCATTTTGATAGTGAGAATAATGAAATACTACATGAATAGAGACAACTGTGATTTAACAAACCTTGCATTAATCATAATGTAATGTATTATACTAATCTTGAATGTGCTCCAAAAAAGATAATAAATCACAAATATATACATAGCTTCTGGGTATGCTTCAAGAAGAAAATCAGATTTCAACCAGAAATAATATAGCATTTACAGACTATAACATTGTAGCTCATCTGGTGAAGATGTTCTATATTGATAAGAAAGAGCTCTCCCATTGGCATACTAAAACCACCTCTGTGAGAGGCAATAGATATGTCAGCAGATGCACTGTCCACACCACCACTTAGGTTGTTGTAACATACAGTGCTTATTCATAAGTTACGTTGACCTAAGCTGTAGACAAGCCTGTAATAGTGACTGTTAGCAGTATTAGGCAATTACGTTACACGTTATGTTGAGAGAATAAAGTCCTCCAACAGACAAGGCACTTAAAGGATAGCCTGTAACTGTCAGCATGTAAAAGACAACGATTCTTTGCTCATTAAGGGTAAAATTCCAAAGATCAGCACATGGCCCCTGCACCACATGCTACATTTTACACATAAAAATTATACATTCTTGCGGAGTTGCCAATCCCTACAGAGCCTTATTTACTTTGGTGGGATTCAGTTGAACACACAGAGGTTCATGTACATAAATCAAATTACAGGCTGAGGCCTATATTATTTTAAAATTAACATCAATGAATATTTTCCATTGAAATTGGTGAAATTACTATTATTTTCCTTTAGATTTTTCAGGCCCAGAATTTAGACCATCAGTATCTTTTTGTGTTTTCTTTCCTTGTGTCATGGTAACCACATTAGTCCTTTTTACACTCCTTCCCCCTGCACAGTTGTTCATGAGCAGCACTACAATAAACTATACCTGATGCTGCACCCACATGTAGCCCTCTGTGGCCCTAGGGATCTGTCAGCATTACAAAAGGTACAGTATTGGGGCGTAGTTCCAGTAAAAAGGTGTAGTACCAGGCACACAACAGAATTGAAAATCACATTGTCCAGTCCTGCTTGGGATTTTCTAGTTCAGGCTGCTCTTTTTACATGGAGTTCCAATAAAAGGTACATAAAATATTGAGCCTACTAATCTGAAAATAGAACTTGCCATTTATTTAAAAATATAGGTCCTGCCCCTGTAGTTGAATGCAAAGGGAAGACTCCTGTGGCTGTCAAATACAGGTCAACTAAAGGCAAAAGTTAACCAAATAAAAATATCCAACATACCAATTGCTATAGTCAATGTACTATCCCCTAGCACCACTCTACCTATTTGTCTACACTTAAAATGTAGCAATTCAATGTAGCCAATAACTGCATCAATGGAAAGGATTATCCCACCTGCATAGGCAATCCACAGGGGCCTACCAAATTCATAGCCATGAAAAATGCATCACGGACTGTGAAATCTGGTCTCCCTCCCCCCCCCATAAAATCTGGTATTTTATGTGTGCTTACTATATAGATTTCACAGGGGTCCTGGCCCAAAATGAGATATGAGGTTGCAAAGGGGTCACAAGGATATTTTAGGGTGGTTGAAAATATAGCAGCACAGACAGGTGGCAATACCATACCATATCACCCTTATTTCTGCACTGCTGCCATCAGAGCTGGGTGGCCAAAGAGTGGTGGCTGCTGATTGAGGGCTTAGTTCTGCAGGCCACAGCACAGAAGTAAGGGTAGCAATACCATAGCAGCCTATTTTTACTTCTGCATTTCTGCTGGCTCCGAACATTCTAGAATGTTTGGAATGATAGCCAGCCCTTCATTCTAGAGCTTTGGTTCAGTATCCTCACAACAATGAACCCAGCAGAAGTATGGGATCCAGGATTTTTCATATGAGATGCTGGAGTGCACAACGATGACTGTCAGTTTCACAAATAGTGTGAAAGGGAGCCAGAAGGTGCTGGAGATCAGGGAAGCAAAGTGGTTCCTGATGGGACTTTTTCCAAAGATGTTTCTAAGACGTTCCTAAGATACCCTGCACTACATACCGCGTTCCCACAGTGACTAGAGACTGAAGATGATGCCAGGCACTGTGGGATACATACCCACAGTGCATTGCTCTTTCTGTTGATGGGAGAGCTAAAAATGTAGCCATGATCTGTTGACATATGGTTGCAGTGCAAATATGTCCTCAGTTTCTCCATTTGAAAAATTGGAATAACAATTGTTAACTACTTTTCAAAGCAATTAATCTTTTCAATAACTATTCAATGTTTTGAGCTGTTTGAAAGATGCTCCAGAAGTGCAAGCTAGTACTATTATACATTTATAGATGAATGCACAATTAAAGTGTGCAATATTCTTCATCTGAAAACCTAACAGTTTAGATTGGCACACAAAAATGTGTGTTCCCACTCACATTAATACTTTCAGTCACATGCAGTTATGTTCACTAAAAACCCCACCCAACTATTGTAATTCAAACATGAGAAAAGGCAACTCTTTAGTAGGATTCTATGCTATATAAGCTGATTGCCTAGTCTATAGCAAAATCACTTACAGATTTTTGTTGGTAAGCAAAAATAAGGGCCTACAAGAGCCCTATATATTATTCAATGTTTTGCCATTATTCTAGGATGCCAAAAGTTTGACTTTGTGTATCCACTTCCTCTATATTGAGAGAATAAGGGAGTTCTGCTTTCCTCCTCATTTAGTAATGTACCATAAAATTAATTTAACATAGGAAACACCCTTCTCTTTCATGCTCCACTCCCCTATTGCTTAATGCTATTCATAATAGCCATTGTACTAAATAGATTATTTTCCATGCACAAAACTGTGTATTAGTTGAGAAAGTAAAGGTAGTATGGTTAAGTATTTCAAAATCAGGAAATGACAACATTAAACTTATAGCAACAAAGTGGGTGAAGTCATATCTTTTATTGGACCAACAGAAATTAGTTCAATAAAAGATACACCCTCCCTTCCTTGTCTTCCTAATATCTTGAGACTGACACATTGTACACAAAATTAAAGTTACATATACAAGTAAATGGTAAAAGAAATAAATTTTAAATAAACGTTTCCAACTTTGTAAATGGAATACAGTGAAAATGGATGTATACTATTAGATTTAATTTTTAAAATAGCATTCACTACTGGCAATAATGGGCACTACTGCATAAACATTATAACATATTTTACCTTTCTAAAGCTCCTTTCATTCCAAAGCGTTTACATACAGCATTACTGGACTGTAGCTGCCTTTGAAAGAAAGCAACCACCAACATGCTGCCCGGTGGTTGGGTGGAGATGTGGGAACTTTTTCAAAAAAAAAATCTGACAACTATCTACTCTTACAAAAAGTGCCACAGGCAGTTGAATGTTTATTCAGAACAGATAGGATCTTGTTTTTATTGATTTCAGTTCTTCATGAAAAACCTGCACTCAGAAAACTTAATGAAACTTTATGTACCTACCTGAGATGATGAACTTTTGCTTACAATACAAAATGGTACTAATAGACCCTGGAGACTGAAGGTTACATTAACAATGGTCAGAACTGTCAACTAATAGTACGTTAAAGAAGTACAGTAGACCAGGACTTGTCACATGGGTTAATGCTTTTGAGTAAATGATTGTGTTACCTCATAACATACTAAAAGAAAGTAATTGTGACAGGTATACAACTAATGACCACTTTACTAAACTGTAACTTCCCAAGTGACAGAGGGACACCTTAAAAACTGCAGATGCATCTGACAAAGCGTTTTTAGTCTTGAACGTTTATGCCAGAATAAAGCTGTTCATATTTAGGGTGCTACAAGACTTCTCAGGCTATGTCTACACTACAGAGTTTTTTTCAGAAAAATGGCCATTTTAAAAAAAAAACTTCACTTACATACACACTGCAATTGTGTTCTTTCGAAAAAAAATCAAAACAACAGAGGGGTTTTTCCGACAGTGGTAAACCTATTTCTATGAGGAAGAAGCCTTTTTCCGAAAGAGCTCTTTTGGAAAAAGGCGTGCGTGGAAGGGGAAGAGGGAGTTCTTTCGAAAGAAGAGGAAAGAAGAAAAAGCAGAGGTGCCCTGGTGGCCACTCCGTCCATAGTAATCGCAGCTTAAATGAGAGAGAGCATCCAGAATGGACGCTATCTTTCGAAAGAGCAGATCACTTTTTCGATGCACTTTGGCAGTGTGGATGCTCTTTTGGAAGAAGTTTTTCTGGACAATCTCTTCTGGAAAAACTTCTTCCGAAAGAAGCCTGTAATCTAGACATAGCATTGTTCTTCCCAAATCAGTCTGAGAAAGAGGAAGAACTTGACTTAAACTGATTGCTTTACAATAAAAGAGTTCGCTTTCAGAGAGAGAGAGTTAACAGACCACTTACCCAGTATTCTCTGGCTGCTATTTTATAGTGGACTTTTGTCCATTATGCAGTGCAGCTACTCTCACTTAGTTTTTATATGAGCAGCATTTTGAAGTCAACACAGAGGCTGTGTCTACACTGCACCCCTTTTCCGGAATAGGGATGCAGATTAGACCAGTCGGAATTGCAAATCCGTGGGGGATTTAAATATCCCCCGCGTCATTTGCATTTACATGGCTGCCGCTTTTTTCCGGCTTGGGGATAAGCCGGAGAAAAGCGCCAGTCTAGACGTGATTCTCTGGAAAATAAACCCTTTTCTGGAGGATCTTTTATTCCTACTTGAAAGTAATTCCAGTTGGAATTGCAAATCCGCGGGGGATTTGAAAGTAGGAATAAAAGATCCTCCGGAAAAGGGTTTATTTTCCGGAGAATCACGTCTAGACTGGCGCTTTTCTCCGGCTTATCCCCAAGCCGGAAAAAAGCGGCAGGCACGTAAATGCAAAAGCCCCGGGGGATATTTAAATCCCCCGCGGATTTGCAATTGCAATATGTTTCATTAGCATCCCTTTTCCGGAAAGGGATGCCAATGTAGACACAGCCAGAATGTTCAACCTCACTAAAGAATGATACATTAGGTTACATACAATCTAAAATATCTCAATTACTTTTAATATAATTTTAATAGAGCTTTTCTTGGAGGATGGCCTGCAGGCATTCAACCTGTGGTATACTGTCCATTTGATTAACAACCAGGGGTTCAAATGAAGAAATTTGGTGTGAGAAGGGAAGCACCTCTTCTGCTCCTCTCTTTGGCTTGGGTTTCCCAGTGAATCTTTTCCTCTTTGACTGGGAGATCTCCCTCAGGGTTGAAGGTTCTGGAATGTGTTGACACTGGATTCCTTATGTTTGGTGTTGGTGTTGAAAGTTTATGCTAATACAGCTGTGTTTCTCCCTATCATTACTGAGTTTCTCTCACTGGCACTAGCAAGTGATTCAGTAGATGGCATACTTTTTTTTAACTGATACTGAACCCAAGCTCTAGAATGATATTAGGTATGACCAGTATGCAGTATATTTTAAGAGTCATATAACATTGAGTTTCTGGCCATTTGGGTGGTGTCCTGTGACTATTGTAACTAAAAATCCCATTAAATTTACTTAAGAGCAGGGATTTTCATACTACTATGCCATATTTGCATTGTAGTTATTCTGCCTATCTAAAAACTGTCTGAATTATTAGTGGGATATGGTAGTCTTCACTTTCAGTTTTAAGTAGTTGAACAAGCTAGTATTTTACACCTCAAAGTAGCTGCAGTTTACTTGTGGGTGAAATATTCATTAGAATGGCCCTGATTCCACCCAACAATCAACATGCCAGTGCATTAGTTTATTTTGTAGCATATCAGGATATCCTAGCACTGAATGTGGATATTTGATTCCACCTGAATCACTCAGGCACTATTCTAGAGGCAGAGAGCAGAGAATTATGTAGTGGCTAAAAGTGGCCTGACATGCCTTTTCAACCTCACACAGACCCAGAAAGGGAGGCATTTGCAATGTGAGGGGTTATCGGAACAATCAAGAAAAAAATAACTGGAGGAAACAAATGGTGAAAGAGATTTCCATATGGACTCCTGGATCATGCTTCAATTTACAGGGAGGGATTCAATGGATACTATTTCTCAGGAGGCTGCACTATGGAGTGGGTATGGGAGTTCATCTGATTAATCATATTTTTTGGTGTGGCAAAGTGAGACAGACTATAGGAGGGTGTGCTTACTGATGTTATGTGATTATATAGACAGTGGGTATCCACACACCTGTGGTCTGACTGATCAGTCAGTATCAATCCTAGGTACTCTTTATTGTAAAAAGAAAGTACAGTTGAGGAAAACACCCACAGTATAAGGGAAAGTGTAACATATAGACAATGTCTGTTTTATTTTTCACAGAATTATTTCATACAATGTAAAATTTCCTTGTGAGTGCTACCACTAGCACTAGTTGTTTGTTCTACTGGCAAAGTGAAAAACCAATGAAAAAATGAAATGATAAATACTATATTGTGAACATATGAATAAAGAATTATATTTTATTGAGACTTGTTAAACTCCTGTCTATCGGTTAGATTCACAACACATTACTAGTGCAGACACTGCATTGTTGGACAATGTTAGTTACACACTGAAGACTACAACACAGCAGTTCTCTCATATAATCAAGATTAAAGTGCAGTCATGTACAGGACACAAACAACATGAAAACATTAATCTGCTGTAGAACAATAGTTGTTACTTGCAACAGTGAGGGTGGGAAGGAAACGTGATTAAACTGACAATGTCCCCATAAAACCCCATTTAAATTTCCTGAAGAAAATAACTTTTTAGTTTAATTCATCATATGAGTTTTTTGTAACGCCAACATTATGCTAGTCCACAAGAATAACGAAAAACCCACCCTCTGGCTTATATTTGGAAAGCAGCAACAAGGCAGTCTGGGCGCTTTCTGATTAATCAGTTTCAATTTTGCTTGCAGCTGCGTCCAATTTTAATTTTGCGCAGCCTGAACAACTAAGGGGGAGCGGGGGTGCAGAAGGGACAGAGATTAACACTACAGACTCTCTCCTCTAGTTCTACGACTTGCGCGAAACAGGCAAGAACGCGTGTCTCTAACAGCGACTAGGTCTGATTGTTGGCTCGGAGGGAAGAAGGGGTGTGAGCGGGACCTTTGCCTACAATCCCTACGTGGTCTCTCTCTGCGCACCTCCTCCCCTCCCAGGAGAACGCGGGCCCGCGGCGGTAGCAGCCTGTGGTGTGTAGCGAGAACACTCCGGAGCCTTGGCTGTCTCCGCCCTCCCCACCTGTAGGACTCTCCGCACGCCCTAGTGGTGGGACCGGGGAAGCGGGGCCCGTAGCAGCGGCTCAGGCGCTGTGCTGGGGGAAGAGGAAAATTCCAGCGCGGAGGAGGCCAGCTCTGCCCCCGCCTCCCCTCAGCAGGGCGCGCGAGAGGCTGGGCTGCGCTGGCCCGGCTCTCGGGGCGGAGCGGGGCAGCGCGGGGATCCAGTGGACTGCCCACGGCGGACAAGGCAGCGGAACCGCGGGTGCCGCAGGGGGCGGCTCCACGTGCCAAGTTTTCTCCGCGCCGCGGTTTCCCAAGGTGGGGTTTGTAACGCGGGCTGGGGCCGCCGCGCTCCGCCTGGGGCGCCCCATGGTTGCCGGGGGGGGAGGCAGCATGTGTTCCGGGCAGGGCTGGCGCGGGGCAGCGAGGTCTCCCGGAGCCCTTCTCAAACAGGTGGTGGGGAGGCGTGCAGCCGAGACTTGTGCCGAGCCGCCTTCCAGCCAGCTCGGATCCCGGCCGGGCCAGAACTGTCCCGGGGGGCCACGCTGTGCTCGCCCGGCAGAGGCGCTGGACGGCCGCGTCTGGCGGGCGGGGGCAGCCCTGCCCCCTTCCGACTCAGCACGACTGGTTGCGTGTGCGAGGGACCCCGTTGTACGCGGGCACCGCCGCTCTCTGCCGCCGTCCTTTGCTTGCCATTGCCGGCGAGGTTGTCCGGCCGTGCGCGGCTTGGAAAGTGGCAGTTCAGCTGACGAAGGGGGGAGGGTAGGTGCGCACAGCACCTGGCTCGGGAGCAAAGCTGCCACCCTCGGCAACGGGCAGCTCTACAAAGGGGCCATTGTGGGACTGCAGCTCTGAAAGGCAATACCTGGGCACGGTTATGGCTGCGCTCCGGGATGAGGCAGCTCTCGGGGCAATGAGTCAGCAGCAGGGGCTGCAATTTGTGCCTCTGCCGGGCGGCATGAGTGCAATCGAACGCCGTAAATGCTTTGCTCTGGCTTTTGTTTTTCGCCCTGCAAACCATCTCGAAAGGGATACGATTTAAGAGAGCAAACAGGGCTGCTGACCGCTCTGGTTGGCTGGCAGATACAAAGTCATAGGGTTGTTCAGCGATCACTTGCTTCGCTCTCCTCAGTGCTCTTTCGATGTCACCTGAAGAGTTCATGTGACGGAATCTGTAAACAAACAAGCCGATCGCAGTTAGCGTTTGTGGAAACAGAATCGGGGCGGGGGCGAAACTGTTAATCCCGAACTATTTTTGGGAGAAACAGTTCTGAAGAGGAGATTAATTGGAGACGAATATAAGCGCTGACTTTGTCAAGAATCTGAACTAAAGCTACGAAGCAAAAGAAGCAGAACTTTCATATGCTCTTTCGCTCTCGAAATAAGTTATTCTGTGATATTAAGGACATTTTAATCAAACAGCTAATAAACAAGAGCATTTGTCTTCGTTTTAGGTGTTTGGAAAAAAATAAGGTACTTGGAATTCATATTGGGATTATTTAGTGGGTGAGGCTCTAATTTTCCTTTGAACGTTACTGAAAGGAATTTGTTTAGAAGCAAGTCAGAACCTGCTTATTCCTATCATTGTCTGTGTCAGTGTTGGCGATAGACCAGAAAAGTATCAGGACCCCAAAACTTTAGTTACAGTTCTAGTTAATAAACACTTAATTATGTAGAAGAAACACCCCGGTACTCTTTTTAGCCCAAACTTTTCAGTAATATGCTAATGTATGAAAGCCAGGAAATGAACTGAATAGTGGGAAAAATGTGGCTAATTGTTCAGATCTTTAGCAATTGTGCCATGGGAAATGTGCAAAGTGCATAGACGGCATCACTGTGGAAAAACAAAAACCTAAGCACAGTTTTTAAACTTGTCCTCTTTTTAACAATCTAAAAACCTTTTAGTGTCCCAGATAAGAAACTTGGCTTTTTATTTTCTTGACAGTGCTAATTAGAAATACCATTGGTGCAGACCAGTTATTTTAGTTGTAGATATTTTTAGTTCTGTTTCTAATGCTGTAACACTATAGTAATTCATTTTTTATGTTCTTTATCTGTACAGTTCAGCTCATGAACCATCAATCATGGATTTTTCTTGAAAAAATTTAGTAATACTGTATTGGATGGAATTGACATATACACTTATTTTGTTTCTTTTAATACACCCCTACCCCCCTTGAATATAGCCAAATGAAAGTTTTCATTGTGGAAGAAAATACAGTAATGTGCAATCTTAAAGAACCCAACTCCTGTCAAACAAAATCACTCTTGTTGTCATTTAAGGAGTTGGGGAGTTAAGAGGAATCAGTGGAAATGGCAGAAAGGGGAGCATTATTGGCCTGAACCCTGTAACACCCATTCACTTTTAGAGGCTTTACGTGTTCAGCCTCCTTGATAATCAGGCCATATATTCCAAAAGTAATATGAAAATTGGGAAGTAAATTGTAAGTGAGTGCACATGTAAACATAAACACATTCTGGAATGTGAGATTATAAATGGGACTGCAGCTATTTGATTTATGATTATTAAATAGTAGAAATACAATTTGGATTTATAAATAGATTTGTTTCAAGTCCCATATTTCTACTTCCAGTATGAATCTATTCAGAATGGGTATTTATAAAATTACAGCTTTCTACCAGTTCTGTACTTATTAGTAAGTCATTAAGAACTTATATTTTCCCATCTTTTAAACAGCTCTGAGTTAGAACAGTAGAAGGCTTTATCTTGTGGCTACAAGATGTCTGGCATGGAAACTTAAGTTGTTGCTCAAGTAAAAGAGCAAGCATGTGATAATGTGAGAACATGCACATATTGCATTATAACTAGTTCTGAAGTCTTTAAATTCCTTGTTAGTATCAAACCATTCTTTAAAAATGAAACAATTTCAGTTCTTAGTTTCCTTAGGCCTGAAACACCATAGCGCGTCATGTTACTTTTGACTTATAAAAAACCAAAATTCAAGTCATGTTTTTGCTGTAAATCAGTGAATAGCTTTTTTGCCCCCTCAGTACTACTTAAAATAGCTGTCAGCAAGTGCTTTTCTTAAAACACCTAGCTAATAAAATTTACTCTGTTTAATCCTGCGGGCATATTTACAGACAATGTAATAACTCTGAAATAACTGTTGCTTTGAAAATTAATGTTATCCTTTCTTCCTAGCTCATTGCTCATACAGGGACCGAGTTGTAATTTTAATTATTTCCTGAAGAGGATCTGAGTTTGCTGACAAAACAATTGAGTATGAAATAAATGTCTGTTACAGTTATTCTTGAATACAACTCTTTCTATCTGCTAAAAGATCCAACTGAACTGGTAATTTTCTTAGGAATGCAGAATCATCATTTATCATAGATTTATACTTTCTTACATAATAAAAATACTTCTACCAACCAGAATTTATATTTCAATTTAAATTTTGGAAGCTTTATATATTTTCAACTTTATACCAAAAAATGCACCGAGACTCATTGGTGTTTTGTTTTATTTAAAATATTTTTTTACCCCACCCCTCTATTTAAAATATTTGAGGCAGCTTACAAAATTTTAAAATGCAATATATAGTGTGTCTGTCTGTGTCTGTATATATGTAAAATAAAAGACCCCCCAAGGGGGGCATTAAACCTGCTAAGACGCATCCAGATGAGAGAGACTTATGCACATGCTTGCTCGCTCTCTCTCTCTCTTGCTCTCAAGCACCAATAAAACCACTGGTAACAAGAGTGTCTTTAGCCGGGTACTGAGTCAATGGTGGCATTGGCGCCAGGGTATTGTCCTGGGGGAGGGAATTCTATAGTTGGGGAGCAAAAGCTGAGAAGGCTTTGATCTGCGTAGATGTCAGCCTTTTCTCCGGAAGTGGAGGAATATGGAGTAAAGTCTCCCCAGCTGACCTCAATCCCTGAGTTCATAGGGGAGGAGAGAGTCCTTCAAGTACCCTGGTCCCAAACTGTTATGTGCTTTCTATTGTCCAAAATATCCTTTAGAATCGGGACTATTTTCCCCTACATAATTTTCCCCCAACGTAAGGGACACTTTTTCCTTCTCCTTTGTTTCACCTGGAGTAGAAAAAATAGCTATTTTTATTTATTGCATTGAAATAGTGGATCTTAATTCTGACATTCTTCTCTCTCTCTGTATGCCTTGTTCTCCAGTGATTCTGAGACTTCTGTGCAAGTAGAGGAATTGGAATCTAAAAGCTAAGATACTTTATACAGTAATTATGTCATGAACTTGGTTTCAAATGACATGGTGCTCTTTTTTGTTTGCTTTTGAAAAATACTTCAATTTTTCAAGCGCATTGTATGAGAACCACTGAATTAGTTTAAAACTATGGGCTGGGACCCCATTTTAATTGGGGTTACTAGGGCTGATTTAGATATGCTGGGGCCAAGGGCCAAAGTGGCAGCCCTACCACCTAGAAGCCCAGGGCTTTAGATCTGGGTTTTGGAGTTCATTATAGGCCCCCTGCTGGTGAGAGTTCCTCCTCACATCATCTGGAGTCACGCAGTAACTTTTTTGTTGTCAGAGGGGGTCATGGTGCAACACAGTCTGAGAACTCGTGAACCAGTCTAATAACTTAGACTGGGGTCGGCAACCTACGGCAGGTGAGCTGATTTTCAGTGGCACTCATGGCGGGAGCTCAACCCTGCCCCTTCTATTCTGTGCAGCTGCCGGAGCCCTCCCTCTTCCCCAGCAGCAGGTTAGGCTGCAGTGGGAAGAGGTGGTGCTGCAGCTCCTCAGCCATGCCTTTGGGACTGGCCCAGGACCACATGGCTGTGGCAGGTGCTACAAGAGGGTACGAAGCTAGGTAAGCATCCTCCCTCATGCCCAGACCTCTGCAAGCCAACCCCCCTCACTCCCTTCTTTCTTGCCAAGTGCACCCCCAGCTTGCTCTGATACCCACTTTTGTTCCTGCAACCTCCCTCCTGGCTAGACGCCCTACCCCCATCCTGGTCCTGCCCTCTCCCCCCCGGCCTGGCTAGACTCCTATCCACCCCTCTTTCTCTCTCTCCCCCCCCCCCCTTTTGCATCCATTACTGCTCTTGCACCCTCCCTCCTGTCCACATACTGCACCCTCCCTTGCTCCTGCTCCCTCCACCTGGCCAGACACCTTACTCCCAGCCTGCTTTAACACTTTACCTGCTACCCAGACTTCACAACCTCTCCCCCTTTTGCTCCCCACCTCCCTCCAAGATCCTGCACCCCATCCCTATTCCACTCTCTGGCAGCCCTGTCTTGCACACTGAACCTCTCTTTTTTTTGTTCCTACCCCAGAGCCTAAAGGAGTCCATAAAATCACTAATTCCAGAATCCCAGA